CGGAAAGATTTCTATGGGAGGCACAATGCGGATTTAGACCTGGAAGAGGATGCACGGATCAAATGTTTTCTCTCCGCATGATCACGGAGAAGCTTCTGGCTGCTAACCAGAAGATTTTCTGTGCTTTTGTGGATCTTGAGAAAGCATTTGATAAGGTTGTAAGGAAGAAAATGTGGGAACTGTTGCCGGGGTATGGTGTGGATGGTCGATTGCTAAGGGCTGTGCAGTCTCTTTACTGTGACTGTAAAACCTGTGTGCGGGTAGGGCATGACCTGTCACCCATGTTTAACGTCCAAACGGGCGTAAAGCAGGGTTGTGTCATGTCTTCCTGGCTGTTCATACTGTATCTCGACAGCTGTTTACAGAAGCTGAAAGATAGTTGTTTGGGTGTGAAATTGGGTGACATTAAAGTAAATTGTCTGCTGTATGCTGATGATGCAGTGCTTATTGCACCATCAGAGGCAGAACTGCAGGCATTAGTCACGTGTATGAAAGAGGAATGTGAAATTAAAGGTCTCCGTTTGAATGCTAATAAAACTAAGGTTCTGGTATTTGAAAGGGCCGAAGAGAGAACGAAGTGTGAAATATGGGTAAATCAGGAATGTCTAGAACAGGTAAATGAAATTGTATACTTGGGGAGTGCTTTTAGCCGGGATGGAAGATGTGATTTAGATGTGGACAGGCGTGTCGCTGCCGGGAACAAAGTCAATGGTGCCCTGACTGCGTTAGTCAAAAGGCAAGGCGTAGCGAAGAGTGCACGCCTTGCAATACATAACGCAGTGTTGGTACCGACTTTGTTATATGGCAGCGAAACCTGGGTATGCCAGAAGAAGCATAAAAGTAAGTTGAATGCAGTGGAGATGCGATCTCTTCGTAAAATGTGCGGCGTTACCATGGCCGACCGAAAGCGAAACGAAGAGATTCGCAATATGGCAGGTTTGAAAGATGACCTTATCACAAAAATTGATAAGGGCGTGCTTCGGTGGTTTGGGCACGTTGAGCGAATGAGTGAAGACCGAATGGTGAAGAAAATATATAGCGCGAAAGTTAATATTAAAAGGTGTCGAGGTAGACCGAGACTAACTTTCGAAGACCATGTGAGCAAATTACTCGAAGAGGGTAGGGTCAAAATTACTCGGATACCTAGACGTGCATGCATGAAGAAGATAATGAATCTGAAAGAAGCGAAAGAGGTTTGTAAGGATCGTGACACTTGGCGATCTGTTCTCTCTGGCTACCCCGTCAGGGATTGTGCGTGAAGATAAGCAAGCAAACTCTTATTGCAAAACGAAAGTATTGTATAATTGTACCTATCAAAAAAACCTTTGTATCGCTGGATTTGGCTGCAAGAAATAAAATATTTGACATAAGTTAAGCTCAGATATATAAAATGTGTCAAATATCCATCTCTAGTACGCAAGTCCAAGAATAGATAGGATATTAAAAACGACTGCAAGTAGCGATCGCTTCTAGACAACCAATTGACCAATATAAAAGAAATCTCTCTATCGTCCTAAAATTAATAATATTTAACACCTAAATGTTAGCACACTAAATACTATAATAGTTACCCTATATAGATAAGGTATGTTTAAATAATTATGTTATTTAATATCTTAATTAATAGCATGCATAAATACTTGCTTTAAAAAAACCCTCGAAAATGTTCTTATTCATTCACAATTAATTCAAAAATCATGAAGACTGAACACAGTGCTGTTTTCATATGGGAAAAAAAAATATGTTATTTGCTAGGTATGTTTTTATATCTGCGTAAGCGAGCCCTAGGGCTGGAGTCTCAATTGATCTACCATGGTAAAGTCTCCCTGAATCATATAAAAAAATCCAACATCGTTATGTTAGTATACCTATTAAAGTATTGGTCTACTAAAAACTTATCAATCAAACATGCATGATAATTGCAATCATCAATAATATCGATCGAGATCAAATACAATAACATGAGCGCTGCGTCCATACGTGTTTTAGAGTAACCAGCTATCTCAGCGAGAATCAGATTATTGAATCCCACACCGTCGCGCATCGTGTCCGGGAATGTAGAGCTGTTTAGTGTAATATTGCGGCGAATTGCATTGCGAGCGGACGAGTGATGCAGAAATCCCAATAATATTGGGGCGAACTGCATCGCGAACGGACGTGAGTGATGCAGCAGCCCCAATATTACCCTAATCACCAATCATCTCCAAAGGTCCCGGGTTTACTAGAAAGAATGCCAAAAGGCATTGATTTAGTCTGCCCTTTGCAATCCTTTTTATTAAGGCGTTATAAAAAATAAAGTGTAGATAAATAGCTGCTACCTTATAGGTATTCATAAGCGTTTATAACATGCTCAGCTTCAATTAAGAAATTTTGAGTTTAGTATATTTTATGATTGAAATCGATTAAGTCAAGTACCTATATTTAGTAATTTTAATTGAGTATTTGCTACGAGCCTTGTGAAACGTTAGTTTAAAATAAATCTTTACAGCATTTTCTTAAAATTTAGAGTCTGTGCGATTTAAGCCGTCATGGAAGTCTTCACTAAATCACGTTTATCTTTTTATTATTTACGGTGATTCAACTCCTTTTTGTACCTTTCTCAGTAAAGATAAAACTAAAACTTGCCAACAGTTATTTTTATCGCCCGACAGTCTAAATCAAGGAAATATACTACTCTTAAAGCTGCCAATTTTAGCAAGTAAAAGGTAGCTTTTCACTGCTTTATATAAGTTATGTAGCACGTGGGAAAAGTAACCTTAATGTTCTTACTAAGATATTTTTACGTACGTTACACAAGTTATATTTTATTTAATACGTTTTATAATAGAATATATTTATTTATTTAAACTTTTGTTGTATAAATATGTACAAAGGTGAAATTAATGCTTAAATAAAAAAAAAATTAGGTATGAAAAGGTTATGTTAATAAAATTCAGGTGATGCTGGTTATTGTAAATAAATAGCTGCTTGATCCCGAATGTTGCTGCCCTCCACTAGTCTGTGGGTCTGTTATGTTTGAATGAATTTAGAGCTATTTCATACATGGTAGAGCCATGCTCATACGTGGTAGAGCCATTCTGCAGCTATATTTCTGGTATAGTTGTAACACGAATGGGTCGGCTCGACCGGGGAAGGACCACGCTCTCACAGAATACCAGCGTAAAATAGCAGCTTAATGCTGCTGTGTTTCGTATGGTGAATGTAGAGAACCGGAGACCCTTTTTACTGGAAATGAGGCATTCCATCTTAGTCCTTACGGGTGATAACGCATCTACATTTTGATATTCGTAATCGAGGATATATGTAAATGTCTATGCGCCACAGCAACCACTTACCATTAGGTGGACTGTGTGCTCGTTTGTCGCCCATATCCTATATAAAAAAAATTATTTGCCGCTTGATCCTAATTTGTTATTTAGTAGGAAACACATCATGTGATATGTAAATGTGAAATTCGGAAAAAAATGTTAAATTGGCCATAAACCTCTAGAATAAGTATATCATCATCAAGATCATCATCAACCCGATAAAATCCATGGCAGGAAATGATATTTTGTAGAAAGTAATCGCAGTAATCGTTACACTAGGAAGGTGGTGTGATAGAATGTTTATTAATTTCATTCAAAAATTCTATGTATAACAATTTTTACTTATCTGAATTAAAAGTAATCATTACTATAAAGTAATATCAAATTTTTAAAACACTAAAACACTTTGTTCATGATCTGTGATGATCCTAGTAAGACTATTAGATCATGGTCATGAAATTAATGTGTTGTCATCGGTTCTTAATACGTCTATAATTTTCAGATTATTTAGACGTCTCGAATTGGGTGAAAACTGAATCACAAAATTCCATTACATTTATACAATATGTACATACATACAATCATTCGCCGTGTAATATCCTATGCCGGTTAAGAATATCCACTACCCTATATCTTCCCGTGGGTGTCGTAAAAGGCGACAATGCGAAACAGGCAGGAGATGGGCAGCAACATCTTCCTGATAACAGCATTACAATAAAGAAACTGCGGTTGCCAACCCGCTCGCCAAGCGTGGCAACTATGGCAAATACAGGGGATATGATGAGTGTAACAAAGAGACGGCCCCCAGTCTCCGGCGGACCCGCTATTCCTGGCTGCGGTAACGACCATGGTAACGGCGGGGCAGGGGTGCTAAGAATCTCCGGTGGAGGTTCGGTTGCCACCTAAGACGACTCGAACTGGCAACATACAACGCACGCACCCTGAGGACTGACGAGAAGATTGTGGAGCTGGAAGAATAGATAGACAAGTTACGCTGGCGTATTATAGGATTATCCGACGTCCAAAGAGAGGGGGAGGACACCGTAATCCTCGAATCCGGCAACTTGCTCTATCACCGGGAGGGCGACCATCTGTCCCAAGGAGGTGTTGGATTTATCGTCCACAAGTCTCCGTTAACAACGTTGTAAAGATTGGGAGTGTGTCGACGAGGGTTGCGTACCTTATACTCCGAATCACCAAACGGTGTTTGCTGAAGTCCATACAGGTTTACGCACCAACCTCGGCACACCCCGATGAGGAGGTGGAGGAAATGTATGAGGATATCTCTTAAGCCATGCATTACTCTAAAACACATTATACTGTGTTAATGGGAGACTTCAATGCAAAACTAGGCACAAGAGAGAACGATGAGCTAAAATTAGGGAAATTTGGAATAGGGCAACGGAACCCAAGGGGCCAGCAGCTGGCCGACTTCATAGAAAAAGAGGGACTCTTTATGATGAACTATTTTTTTCCAGAAGCGGATCCATAGGAAGTTGTTAAGTATGCGGACAGGGAGCGAGTTAAACGGCCGGTAGCTTGCTATGCACTGGTTTATTAACAGAGGGTGCGTGGGCACAGCCACGCATTGTAATAGATAGATATACAAATGTATATACATACATAACAATTCCCCACCCTATTTTAGAATACAAGAATAAAATAAATTATAATAAAGAAGACAACTATAACCTAAAAGAAACGCTTATAATCAACCTTGGGACGGGGGCGCAGTCTATTTCTAGTGGCTTCGATTCGACCACCATTAAAATCTGCTTCTGCTTCGTGGAACTCGTCGTCCTCCTCCAACCGAGGCGGCACAGGGTTCTCTGCTTCATCACTTTCACCTCGACGTGGCGAACCTTCTCGCTCTGCCGTGGTAACTAGGCTGGGATCTATGGTAGACGCCGGATGAAGTGGTGACGATGATGATGATGATGGTGATGGTGATGCCGGCAGTGATGGCGGTGGTGTAAAAGTGTTTCCGGTGTCGCAAGTGTTCCCTTTCTCGTAAGCGTCCACGTCCCATGCGTTATAGTCATTACTTTCAGCTTTATATAAAATTAATTGATTTTTATGTTTTCGATAACATATTTGCGTGTCCCAATCTTTTACTAAGTAGATAACTTTGCCAATTCTTTTTGTTATCGTTCCCTTACACCAGGTAAACTTGTTATTTACATATTTTTTATATAAAACGAAAGTTCCAGGTAGCATTTGCTTAAAACGTACTGGTTCTTCCTTCTGTGGACATTTTTGCACATTTATCAAATCGGATGAAGCCGCAGACGCAGACAGCGATGACGTAGGTACCAATCTGTCTAAGCGCGAGTTTAGCTTTCGCCCGAAAATCAACTCGGCGGGTGACATGCCGGTGGTCGAGTGCTTTGAATTCCGGTAATCAAACAAAAACTTTAATAAATTATTTTTTGATTGTTTTGTGTTGCTGCTAGACATAATACTTGATTTTATACCCTTTTTGACTATTTTTACATAACTTTCGGCTTGACCGTTACTTGCCGGGTGATACGGTGGCGACGTAACGTGTGATATCCCGTTTACTTCACAGAAACGTTTAAATTCTTGTGAAGTAAACGCCGTTCCATTGTCGCTTACAATCGTTTGCGGTATGCCGAACCTAGACATGAATTCGTACATCTTTTCAATGACTGTATCGGAGGAAGTAGAACTAGCTGTATCGTATATCTCCGGCCATTTAGAGTACGAATCAATGACCACTTAATACATTCGACCGGCTATGGGACCCAGAAAATCCATATGTACGCGGGTGAAAGGGTGGTGTGTCCGAGGCCAGGGGGCCGGCGGCACGCGCGGTGGAAATGGCCGCAGGTTGATGCATACCTCACATGTCCCTATCATATGCTCCACGGCCTCATCTACGCCCGGAAACCAAAATCTGGATCGAACTTCGGCCTTGGTTTTTACGATACCCAGATGTGTTTTGTGTAACTCGTCTAACACCCTTTTACGCAACGTCTCGGGAATCACGATCTTATGACCTCTCATTAAGCATCCATTTTCAACCGAGAATTGCGTTCTACATGAAAAATAAGGCTTAAGGTACAAATCACTTATTTTCTTAGGCCAACCGTGTTTAACATATTCGGTTACTTTAGATAAAATTTTGTCCCTTTTTGTTTCATCCCGTAGTTCCGAAACCGTAATCGGTAAACTCGTGTCGACCACAAAACACACGTAAGCCGCGCGGTCGCTCGAAGTGAAGTCGTCCGCAGTGCACGTATCGAGTGCGCCTGCACCCGTGTCGGGCGCGCGCCTCGCCTCCGAAATACTTGAGCGAGACAAATAGTCGGCGCTGTTATCAGCGCTTCGTATATACTCGATCGTATAGTTATACGTGCTTAAAAACATTGCGTACCTCTGCAGTCGATTCGCCGATACTTCCGGAATGCCTTTGTACGGTCCGAATATCGAAATTAGTGGCTTATGATCTGTTCTTAATACAAACGGATTTGTTCTACCGTACAAATACTGATGGAAGCGCCGAATTCCAAATATAATTGCGGTCGCTTCTTTCTGTATTTGTGAATATCGTTTTTCTGCGATATTTAGAGTTCGCGATGCAAACGAAATCGGTCTTTCTTGCCCGTCGGAACCTACTTGCGACAGTATCGCACCCAAGCCAACCGGAGACGCGTCTACAGTCAGGATTAGCCTTGCTTCGGGGTTGAAGTGGGCGAGTACCTGGTCTGAAGCTAATAACAGTTTTATTTTTGTGAATGCCTCATGATGATCTAGACCCCACGACCATTTTACCCCCTTTTTTAGCAGATTATAAAGTGGGCTTAAAACAGACGCTGCACTTGGTACAAAGTTTCGATAATAATTTACTAGGCCCAAAAACGATTGCAGTTGGCTTATATTTGATGGTGCAGGGGAGTCTACTATTGCTTTAATTTTATCTGGAGACTTTTTCAACCCATTTTTATTGATAACATAACCCAAGTAGTTAACCTCATCTTTATAGAACTCGCACTTCTCCCTTTGCAAGGTCAATCCTGCTTCTTGTAAGGTCTGCAACACCGCCCGGAGGCGTGCAGCGTGCTCGGCGTCGTCACGCCCCGTAATGAGCACGTCATCCAACAAACACAGCACGCCCTCCTGTCCACCAATTAGGCCCTCCATCGCACGCTGAAAAATTGCTGGCGCTGGAGCAAGCCCAAAGACTAGCCTAGTATACTTGTATAATCCACGATGAGTATTAATTACAGTGTACCTTTGTGACTCGTCATCCAGCTCAAATTGGTTATAAGCCATAGATAAGTCTAATTTGGTGAATTTTTTTCCACCGTAAAGCTTTGCAAACAATTCCTTGGCAGTTGGCAGAGGATACTGGTCGATAATTAATTGCCTATTAATACTAACCGAGTAATCGGCACACAAGCGAATAGTGCCATTTCTTTTTAAAACAGGGACTATAGGGGACGCATAGTCTGCGTGGTCAACCGGTTTTAATACCCCTAACTCAACCATTCTATCTAGTTCATTATTTATTTTATTCCGTAGGGCAAATGCAATCCCCCCCGAACGGGTTCCCGCCTTGTCGTGGCGGGGGGGCTTAGTAGCCGTGGCTTGGTCAACCACGGTGAACAAAGAGGAACCCCTTGGCTGGCCCGTGGTGTAGGGCCGGCCCGAGGTGGCCACTCCGAGTGGGCTTGGGAAGCCCACTTCGGATGTGTGTCGGTGGGATGCTGCGAGAGGGGTGTCCGCTCCCTCTATCGCTGCAGCCGAGGTGGAGTCGCGGAGGAAGAGGAGTGTTGGCATGGCGATGCGCCACTCGCCCTATCCTCCGCGACTCAGGCGGGGCCACACCGTCGATTGATGCGGTGGTGGTGGGGCTGCGGGGGGAGAGGAGTGTCGGTATTACGAGGCGCCGCTCTCCCTACCCTCCGCAGCCGAATCTTGGTTGGCGGCGGAGCCATAGACCAGATCCGTCGCTGGGGTCAGGAAAGCTGGTGCTTCTGAGTGCTAGTTTTTCCTGGCCCCATGGCCTTCGCGCATCGGACACGGGGGCGTCCGTTACGCATGTGAAATTGGAGGCCGAGGAGGAGGGCGCGCCATGTGTTCTGGTGCGCCTTACCTGAGAGGGAGATGGGGGAGGAGTGGTCCTCTCCCGAGGAGGGGCCGCCATGGGGCGGCCAGCGCAGGTGGGGCCGCGGAAGTGTGCGAAAGCGTTCCCGTGGCCCTGCCAATATGCGACGAGGTTGGAACACCATGGGGTTTTAGTCGGTGCGAGTCCGACATAACCCGTCCTTGCCCCCGCGAGGCGGGTATGCGTAGGCATTTCCCCATGTAAAAAAAAAAAAAAAAAAAAAAGGGCAAATGCAATCGGTCTCGCTTTAAAGAAAACTGGTTTTGCATTATCTTTTAACTGTAAGTGCACCTTATGTTTAGTAAAACGACCTAATTTATCCGAAAAAAGAACTGGAAATTGACATTGCAGTTCTTCCACGGAGGGACGGGTACCCTGACAGTAATTCACCGTTGATAAAACTGACGATAACTCTAATTGGAATGTAGATATAAAGTCCCTACCGAGGAGCGGCGGCCCGCCGTCCCGGACGACGTACACGTCGAGCGTGTGTGAACGGTTAGTATAGTACACGGGTAACCGGATTGTGCCTACACATGTTATGCTATCACCCGTGTAGCTCATCAACCTTTTATGCGGAACAATCAATGGAATATCTTTAAAATGAGATTTGTATAATTTTTCCGGTATCACCGTTACGGCGGAACCGCTATCTATTTCAAACTTAAACGCCATTCCCCGAATAAACACGGTCTCGACCATCGGTTCACCCCGCAACGAACGAATTTTAAATACCTTACCATCATCATCGATGTTTTCGTCTCCGGCTCCATTATCTACGTAGTTAACTTTATTTGGCGTACACATTCTACGTAGATGGCCTACGACGTTACACTTCCTACATACGAAATCCGCATACCGGTACTCCGAGGCCTTGTGATTCGTATAGCCACACACTTTACACTTTTGTTTTACCGGAAGATCACTTTTTACACTTCTTGCACCTTTATCTCTTGATCTAATCTTGTACAACGCGCTGGTAGAAGCTGCGGACGCGTCGGCTGTACTGGCACTGGCGATTGCAGCTGATTTCGTACAACGGACGTTTTCAGCAAATTCTACAGTTTTCGTGAGAGTTAGATTTGTAATATCTTGGGCGAAAAGTTTCTCTTTCTCAAGACTAGGCATCATTCCCATAATAAACCGGTTTCGTAGGGCCTCTTCGATATCATGGAAAGCGCAGCGTGACGTAAGACCGCGCAGTCTCGCGGCCCACTGTGAATGTGTTTCACCGGGTTGCTGCGATGCTGCATAGAAGTTGTGTCGTTCCGTGAAACCGACAATCTTCGGGTTAAAATGGATGTCGAAGAATCGTAGGATGTCTTCGTAGGGCACCTCCTGCACATCCTTGGGTAAGGCTAAATTCTCAGCGAGCCTATAGGTACCCTCCGAGAGTGCACTTAGCAAAATTGCTCTTCTCTTTTTCCCGCTCGGATCCGTCGTGTTATTAATTTCATTTGCCAAGAACCACTGATTTATTCGGCTTTTATAAGTTTTCCACTCCTGTATATCGTGGTTAAAACTGGATAATATTCCAAAATATGAATTAGCCATTTTTAATTACTTTTTGCGCGGGTACTCGTCGCCAATGTTAAGTATGCGGACAGGGAGCGAGTTAAACGGCCGGTAGCTTGCTATGCACTGGTTTATTAACAGAGGGTGTGTGGGCACAGCCACGCATTGTAATAGATAGATATACAAATGTATATACATACATAACAGAAGTGGACCTGGTTGAGCCCCGATGGTTCGACAAAAAATAAGATTGACTTCATTATGACGACCAGACGACAACTTTTCAGTGACGTCTCCGTGATCACGAAGGTGTAATTTGGTAGCGATCACCGAATGATAAGAGGCACACTAAACCTTAACGTTAAGTTGGAGAGGTCTCGTCTAATGAAGTTAACGATCCGTCCTCCTTGTGCTCTGTTCCAAAGTCCTTCAGCTCGAGTTACAAAACCGTTTTCAGTGCCTAGAAAACTACAATGAAGATATGAATGACAAGCTCGTGGAAACTGTCCATGCGGTCGGAGCTAAGTTCTGTAAGACCCGCCGCAGAAGAACATAAAAACTCTCCTATCACACTCTTAATGTTATGGCTGTTAGACGGGAAATGAAGCTACATTCTTAAACAGATTTGACAGCATACAGGCAACTGAACACACAGATCTCCAAATGCATGCGGCGGGACTTACGCAACTTCAATACAACTTGTATTCATGAAGCAATCGAGCGGAACCAAGGCTCCAAAGTCTTTGCCAGAGATCTGTCTGCCAGAAAGAGCCAACTGTCAAAGCTGAGGACCGCGTGTGGCAGTATCGTTTCCGGGACCCCTGAGATTTTGAGTGAAATGGAGAGGTTCTATAGGCAGCTGTACACATCATCGTTGAAGCCACACGCAAGTGTGAGTAACGATCCAAGAGCGAGTCTTATCCGACACTATTCCGATGATATCCTGGACGTTAGGATAAGCGAGATTAGAATAACTTTCCAGCATCTTAAAAACGGCAAGTCCCCGGGCGAGGATGGAATTACAGCGGAGCTCTTGAAAGCGGGTGGATAACCGGTACTTGAAGTCCTTCAGAAGCTCTTCAATTCCATCCACCATGGTGGCACTACTTTGGAGGCGTGGAGCAGAAGTGCGGTGGTATTGTTCTTCAAAAAAGGCGACAACGCTCTCTTGAAGAACTACAAACCGATTCACCTTCTGAGCCGCGACTACTTGCTGTTTTCGAGAGTCATTACGAATCGTCTCGCATGCAGACTTGACGACTTCCAGCCTCCTGAACAAGCCGGTTTCCGAAAAGGCTTTAGTACCATGGACCACTTGTACACACCCTTCGGCAAATTGTACAGAAGACAGAGGAGTATAATCTGCCACTTTGCTTTGCGTGTGTGGACTATGAGAAAGCCTAAGATTCCGTCGAAATTTGGGCGGTGCTGCAGTCATTTCAGTGGTGCCAAGTTGACTGTCAGTATATCGAAGTGCTGAAGTGTTTGTACAGTAGAGCTACGATGACTATCCAAGTACGAAATCAGAATCAGAGTATGAAACCTATCCAACTGCAGAGAGGTGTAAGACAGGGTGACGTTATATCCCCGAAACTCTTCACTGCTGCATTGGAAGAAGTTTTAAAGATTCACGTGGTAGAGCCATGCTGCAGCTGTATTATGGTTGTAGCACGAATGGGTCGGCTCGACCGGGGAAGGACCACGCTCTCACAGAAAACCAGCGTAAAATAGCAGCTTAACGCTGCTGTGTTTCGAATGGTGAGTGTAGAGAACCGGAGACCCTTTTTACTGGAAATGAGGCATTCCATCTTAGTCCTCACGGGTGACAACGCATCTGCATCTTGAGTCTTTATTGAGGATAGATGTAGATGTCTATGGGTCACAGTAACCACTTACCATCAGGTGGACTGTGTGCTCGTTTGTCACCCGATTCTATAAAAAAAAAAAGATGCTGGACTGGAAAAGATGCGGTATTAACATCAATGGCGAGTACATAACATACCTTCGATTTGCCGACGATATAGTTCTTATGGCAGAATCACTGAAAGACCTAAGCACTATGCTCAATGACCACAAAAGTATTTACCAACGGATAGATCTTAAGATGAACATTTACAAAACAAAAATCATGTTTAACTACGACACATGTTCTCGTTAGACACTCCTTAAATCCTTAAAATGAAATTGTAAAACCAGTGCATGTTGCCAGTGATGACTTACGGATCTGAGACGCGGTCCTTCACTGCTGGCTGTATGAGGAAGCTTAAGGTCGCTCAGCGAGCTATGTAGAGGGCTATGCTCGGAGTTTCTCTGCGTGATAAACTTAGAAATGAGGATATCCTCAGTAGAACCAGAGTGACCGACATAGCCCAACGGATTATAAGCTGAAGTGGTAGTGGGCCGGCCATATAGCTCGAAGAACCGACAACCGATGGGGAAGAAAGGCTCTCGAGTGGCAGCCTTGTACCGGTAGGCGAAGTGTAGGGCAACCCCCAAGGAGATGGTAAGACATGCAGGAAATCGATGGATGCAGGTGGCTCAGAACCGTGCTTTGTGGCAGTCCTTGGGGGAGGTCTATGTTCAGCAGTGGACTTATGAAAGGCTGCAATGATGATTATGATGATACATTTATACACGAAAACATATACGAAGACAAACAAGCACATAGTCCACTTGATGGTAAGTGGATGTTTTGGCTCATAGACATCTTAATCTACATTATTTTCGAATAAGAATCAAAATGCAGTTGTTACTCCTGAGAACTAGAATGGATTGTTTCATTTTCACTATAAAGGGTATCTGTTTCGCTTCACTCACCATTTGAAACACAAAAGCATTAAGCTGCTATTTCACGCTAGTATTCTGTGAGAG